CTCTGTTCTAAGGCTCTGGCTTGGCCTTTGCTTGACTTGCCACCCCGCTGCGCTGTTGCAGGATGAGAGTGATTATGGCTCTTTAGCATGGAGCTAACGATCCATGCTGCAAGTCACCTCTGTTCTAACTGCGTTTTCAGAGCCATTTTATAAGGCTGCATTTCCAAACCTGATTTTCTTTACTTCTTGGATCAATTTCCAGGCTCTTCAGGAATTTGTTCTGCTTCCTGGAATGGAAACTCTACTGTCTGCTGACACCTTTGCTCTAAATGTCAGTGATGCGTGCTTTGGCATGGGTTTGGCATAAATTTTCTTCTGATAGGGAAAAACATGTGCTAATTAGCACCCAGTTATCACGAACATTTTGAAGACAAAAATACAGCTGGAGGCAATTCTGGCACCATATTTCTTCTGGGTTTCTACATTTTAGTTGAGAACATCTTATTACAGTGTTTTGTTATATGAAACTTTGTTCAGCTGTATCTATGACTAGTTTGTTCTGGCTCAATTTTTTTCCTATTAATCATGTTAGGCTTACTCGAGGCTTGTAGAGGGTTTTCCCTGATTCCACCGCACAGAGATGTGTGCAATTTTTTTCTTTCAACCGTTAGGCTCCCCTTGCACGCAGGCTCGGGACTGTAATTGCGCACCCAATCAATTCCAGTGTTATCTTTGTAGCATTTTTCAATATCGTCATTAGCCACGATTTTCTTCTTTTGATTTGTAGTATTTTTTTTCAGCTGTGAGGTTTGCTTTTGTAAAACTTCTGATAATGAAGTCCATCTTGTCTATAACATCATGATGATGATGAACTAATCATTATTTTAAGAGGGTTCTAATTGTATATATATGCCTTATGGTCCAAATTGCTACAGATATTACGTACCATTTCAGTTACCTTTTAAATAATGTATTGGCATCTTACTGCACACTTCAGGGAAACAAAATGTGTCAGTGGGTCCTCCAGTGCTTTAAGAGCTGTTCAGCTCGCCTCCCTTGAGATGTTGTTGTAAAATCTACAATGCACAATTAGTTACGAATTTTACATCTTTTAGAATTCATGGGTAGACCATTAATGGGGGAATAAATAGCAGAATTTTATTTAATCCCCCACATTGTTTAACATGAATTACTAAGCAAGGGACACACAGCCATTCTATCCCCTTGGACAGAGGGACATCTGTACTGCTCTGGATAGAGCATCCCTTCTTCCAGATAGATGGGTAAGGTCCAGCCACAGATACTTGTGGATGTAATGTGGATCTAAATCCCTGTTTACTTGAAAGGACTACAACTGGAGGAAAAAACAGAGTGATGTTCATCTGTTCTAACTTGAAATTTTGTCAGTGTAACTGTTTACATGAAAGTGAATGAGCTGTCTTGTATCGGTGGAGAGAAATAAATATTTTGGGGTGCAATTTATTTGACCAAAGACAGATATTTACTCTAGAATGAGATAACTATCCAGAGTACATAAAGAGAAATGCTTATTTATTTTCATTGGCATCAGACATAGACTTTTCTACTTGGTAAAAAGAATTCTGCTCTTTATGCCCAAGCTATGCACTTAACAGACAATTTATCATTGCTGAGCTGTAATATCAGTTCTGTCGTCCTTACTAGTCTCACTTATTCAGCGAGACTATTTACATATTAAAGTATTACTCAGCATGAGTAACGGTGCCAGCACTGAGGTTATGTTGCAAGTAGAGAGATGTTTCCATTAGCACTAAACCTTATCTCAGAAAAATCACTGGAGACTGGCACTTCCCAGAGGTTCTGCTTTCTTTTGATTATCCTGCCTTCTTCCAATAATTGACTCCAAGCAGTTCAGCTTCGGTTATTTGGTAGAAGAAAATCTTTGTCGGAGATTTATTCATGAAGTCACAAGAAAGTCTGTGCTTAGGTATCAGGTTGTCTGTGTAGGTTGCAAGCAAATCGATTACTGGAGAATTGAGGGAGTTAGGGATAATGTCATGGGATATGGGAGAGTGTAACTGAAGATAATACAGTGGTGGAGGGGCTCACATATGAGACAGAAGAATGAAGACAGGGGAGAACTAAGTAAGACTCAGATACCTCAAGACATAGAAAGTGGATGTACAATCTAATGAGGATAAACTCGATTAAAATCTCTAATGGCCCATCTGCTTACTTGAGCTGGACACCCTGTTCTCATTTGAAATGTTTATGTGATGAGTAAACTTATTTAATACTTTCCTCTGAAACTAGAAAAGAAGGAACATGATTTCAATTAGGTGACATTTGTTTTGTATTTGGATTAGCATGATAATTTTACCCTTGGATAAAAAAAAATGAGGATATTGTATCACGTGTTGTTCCCCTTCTGTGCTCCATTTGGCACCTCTGCCACTGACAGTTCTGCACCACAATGGCAATCTGGTACCAGTTGGATCTTTCCTGCTAAACAACTGGCATTTGGCTGAGCCTAACTCAAATCCCCAGACAGACAAACAGAAGCAGCTGATCCAGGACATGAAAAAGAAACCACAGAAACGTAGCCTTGTCCCATGGCCATGAGTTATCCGGGGTCAATTTGTGCTCTAATGAAGATAGAAAGCATGAAGATAGAAAATCTAGAAAGTCAACAGAAGCAAATAATTTAAAGTGGATGCACACGTAGACCCTGAGCATTCACATACACTTAAATTCTAGGTTAAAAATATTTTTCTCCAAAATATGGAATATTTATTGAGATAAGAATGTATCTGCATTGCTATATGAATCATTACTGTGCAGTTGCTTATGAGTATACAAATAATCATCATATCTGTGTATATTGTCCATGCACAAGCACAGGTCAGTAAAGGATTGGCTTATATCGACTGCATTTATTTTAATAGAATTCTTCAGTTCTAATCCCCTTAATAATAATGCACTACTGTACTGTTTAGCCTCCCAGCTTACTCTACTTACTCGGATTATATTTTAACAGCATCTTATCTCATTTCTATACCTTAACACTCTATCACTGGCTCCTTGACTACTGAACTTTCTTGCTGTATATTAGCTATACCTAAAACATCCTTTTCATGTTAAAACAACTGTACATTCAGCATGGAGCCTCAGCAAAAGTAGAGAGGTAGATGAGCTTTTCTCAAGTATCAACTAATGTTCAAGGAGTCCAGATCTGCCTGTTTTCCACCTTCAGAACCCTGTATGCAGTGTTGTTGAACTCAGCATTCAAAAAGAAATAGACCTCTGTTGGCTTTTTGCTAGCATTTCTGTGCTTCACATGATACTGCTTAATTCATACATTGTGCAGCCAAAAGGAACCCTTGCAATCCCCTGTCTAGCCTCAAGCGTAAACCTACCAAGATTTAATTTCTGTTTGAGCTTGAGTCTTTTGAGGAAGAAGGAATCTTAACCCTCTGTAACAGAGAGTTCACCACAAACACTGAGAAGCTGTTCCAGCTGTTTCAGTCTTACTACTAAAATACATGCCTATTTCTAAGTTAGATCTTGTCTAGTTTCTTCTCACAGCTATTGGATCTTATTATACCCTTGTCTGCTGGCTTGAAGAGTCCACTACCAAAATTACGCTCCCTTCTGAGGTACTGTAGGCTGTGATCAAGTTACTCCAGTAACTTAATTGTCCCGAACTCCTTGGCCTTCCACAATAAGGCATATTTTGACTGTAGCAGAATGCAGTTACTCTCCTCAGACATTCTGGACATGAGTTTCATTGCAGAGTCATAAAGCATGGTTTGCTCATAGTGATAATATTTAATTTCAGCATTCATTTGTCATTCTTCTTCTGTAGCTCCATCGTTTTCTCAGGAGGGAAAGGACAAGCCCTTTCCTTTAATAGTTTGCATTCAGGCTCTCTTAATTTATGCCACAGATGACTTGTGGCTGGCGGGCGCTTTGTATAGCTCCTACCAGCTCACTAGAGGGAAGGCTTCCCTTGACCTACATCACAGTTCAGCTGCCTAAAGCCAAGAGAGATACCTACCCAAATTTTGGAGACGGCACTCTACAGGTTGTTGAAAAGGATGAGCTTAAGATGCTTCAAATGATGCTTCACGCTAGGCCTAAACAGAAAAATAGCTGAGCTCAGTGAAGGTACTGCTAATTAACACCACCATGGAAGAAGAACCGCTAGTTCATTCTCTAAATGGCAACATGGCTCTTGGAACAGATTAAGGACTGACAGTGCTATTCTTTTAAGCAGGCAAAATTTCCATTGGAAGTATAACCACTGAGATACCACTTCATGGCAGTAATGTCCATGAGAGTTTTGCTTGTGCGAGGAATACCCGATTAGGCACCAAGTCGGTTCTGTTACTTCACCACCAGAAGTCGTACGAAATAACAATGGGAATTCAATAGGGAGTTGCAAAACCAATTCATAATTTACACCGACACCTGCACCTTGCTGTGGCTCATGTGGCAGTAAGGTAGAGGGCTGGTACTTCAGGGGCAAAGTGCCTTCCTGCCATGCAGTCTGGCCGTGCACCGGACCCACGGGCACTGCCACCGGGGAGGTCAGAGAATGGGAGAACCACGGTGCAGCTCTTGCCCAAGGAGCTATGTGAAGAGTTGCCGGGCGGTTGCAGAGCAGCCGGCCACCCGAGCCCTGTGCCCGCTGTGCGTGCATTCGGCAGTGCTCACGGCTCTTGGGAAAACCAGCCCACAGCCCTGTTTCTCAGAAATGTTTGCAGTAAATAAATAATGTTAAAGGAAAAACATTTCCAGGATGGTTAAGGAGCTACAGAACAAAGTTAGGTGGGAATTTACCCCTCCTTCGCGATGTTAAGGAGATAATGCAATAAATGTTTTGTTCCTTTTTCCATTAGGAACACTTTGCAATCGTACAGGAGTTTTTCTGTAGTGGAAATTAGGACTTTGTTTAAATACAAACTGTTGCTAAAGGGTTTGGGGTTTTTTTTACTGACTCTTAAATGCGTGGGATTAAAGTCAGTAGAAAACACACTGAACTACCCTTCTTAGCTCTGCTTCTTCTCTTGATTACTTAGATCCCTATGTGAAGATCCATCTGATGCAGAATGGCAAGAGGCTGAAGAAGAAAAAGACTACAATTAAAAAGAACACTCTGAATCCCTACTACAATGAGTCTTTCAGCTTTGAAGTACCATTCGAGCAAATTCAGGTAATGTCAAACAGCGTTTTGTCTTCCCTCTGCATTCCATTTCTCAGCCCTTATAAATATTTAACAGGAACCTTGTTAATTATCACGTGTGCATGCCTTCATTAGCACCTAGGTGCCAGCCCTGTGCTACATTAGATGAGTGTGACTGCTTCAAGAGGGAAATGATAAAATGCACAGTACTTATGAAGCTTTGATTCATCAGTCAGAAATGGATAACTGACATTTTCTGTTAACAGAAATGGATTCTGAAAAAAAAATAAATCTGCAGGGACATAGCGAAGGAATGTGCCAGCAAAAAAAGTATAGGGACAAATGAAAAGGCATATATAGCAATTTTCCCCAAATTATTCGAAATAATAAATTGGCACCATCAGTTAATTTGTGTTCCCTGTGCATTTATCGGTCCTGTTTGTTGAAAGCACTGCAGCATCCCTCTTAAGTAAAGCACATAATTTAATCACAACTTTTTTTCAGTTATTCAGTGCCTAAAATTAGGGGCCTCAGAAGTCAGCACAGCGAGCTGGAAGTCACCTACGTTAGCAGTGGGAAATACCAGGACAAGGCATCATGTCATATTTTTCAGGGACTCAGTTACCTACCTTTGGGCCGCTGAGAGGCAAATCATCTCTCACTCGTGAGAGTGAAATTTAACTTCTTCTGATGTTAACTAGCCTTTTCTCACAAGAGAGAAGCTCTTCTTAACCGTATCAGGAGGCATGTGGGAAACCTGCCTCCTCTTCACCCTCCTCCCTAGTGAATTTAAACCTATATCTTCGATGTCATAAGCAAGTACTCTTGTCACTTGTGCTTATGGCTTGTGTTGGCAGCGCAGCACTCGTTTCTAAATAAATAATATGTATATGGTTGGCCACAAAGCATAAGATCACCTGTTAGTGGGGTGGTTTCACTTGGAGAGACTTTGGTCTCTGGTCTAATCTAGGTAATGTAAACCACATAAAGATCAGTTAGTACAGGCCTCCTCCGTTTTTTTTTTAAAACCCTTACCATTAGTGTTAAACTCGTTCGTTATTTTGCTCACTTGTTAGAGCATTCGTGGGCAGGGAAGATGTATTGGTTTAAATGTCCTCAGAAGAGAAAAGAACTGCATGCTGGCTTCCCACTCACCCACGGAGCCCTGTGACTCTGGAGACGTCAAGCAAGACGATAGCTCTGCAGCTGAGTGTGGAAAGTGTACTTTCAGGGGCCTCCTGGTTTGACCATAATTAAAATAGTCTGGGAATACATCCTTTGGTGGCTTGTAAGAGAGGTCTAGGTGTGAGTTAGGTGCCACGCTACTTGTAGTTTTAAAAGGGTTTAAATGTCCTGGGCCAAACTGGGACCCCCCCTCTTGATTAGATGAGAGCATGGTACAGGTTTTGAGACTCTACATCTTGGATTTTGATAGCAACTGTACTGGAGAGAAGCCCAGGAGTCGAGGCCTACATTTCAACTAAAGCTGTGTGCTTGGTTTTTATTGACTTGGTACCGACAGAGATAATAAAACTAGACAAGGTGAGGCAGTAGGAATAGCGACTTGGATGCATGACTAGCCTGTTTCTTCATGCCCCACAGCATGTACAGGTGTCTGTGGACTCTAGGAATCAGAAAGTGGGAAATCCAGTGGGGCCTAATTCCTGTTGATTTTAATGAAAGTTGGCCCGCGTGCTTGTGAAAGATCATATAACAAGCATCAAAGACCCCGAGGCAAGAAAAGATGAATCAAATCGAGCCTCTCTGGCAATTTAGGCAACAAATGTCTTGATTTCCAAATAGGGAGAGGACTGTGGAACTGGGACGGGCACCTGCAAGTTATCAGATCTGAGCTTTGGCATGGTTAGGTACGTTCTGTAGGTACTTGGCCATTTTGTCTTCTAGTCTTAAGTCACTTTTGTAAGGTGGCTATAGGCCCTTTAGAAAACTGTTGTGGTTTAGCTGTTTAAATTTTTGCTTGGGTTTGTTTGGGTTTTTTTATTAAGTTTATTAGAATGACTTTATAGCTATTTACTTCAGTATATAGCCTCAATTTAAAATCTGTAATTATGGGCTTTGGTCATATGCCAATGTAGTTTGGAGTTAGTTATAAAAGACTATATTTAGAAGCTATTTCATTATGGTTACTGAAGTGATTTCATCATTAGAAAAAACACATTTTAAATGTTATTTAGACTTAATATGGTAAGAATCACTGTGACTTTTGGGTAATTCACGTAAAAGTCATTAAGCAAACTTTCACAGTCAAATAAAAAATAATGGTTACACAAGTTTCTTGATTGTTGGAGAGCAAAGACAAGAGGGCTCATGGAGGGAAAGCAATTCAATAGCAGTACACCTATGTAATTTTAAATGGGCCAAACATTAACATTTTCAACAACTTAATAGCAACTATGGATTCTGGCTTTTAAGGGAAAGAAGGTGATGTCTTTAAGCATAATGGGAGAACACCACTGGGAAGTCAAATCCTGTTGTTACAGGCAGATCAAGCACGTGTTTTGCCATGTGCAAGACAGACTGCCTCTGTAGGTAGCAACGTCTCCAGGCCCTTTCAGTCCAAAGAATGCTTAATCACACCGAGGAAACTGCTAATCCCAGTGTTTATTAGCAGAGGTGGTGCTTTCTACTAGCACCTCTTGGGTTTTGCTGTGCAGCTGTTCCTGTAATATATGGTACAAAGGCAAAGAGACGCTCACGTTTCTCTGTAGGTTTACGCCAGAGACCACGAGGTGAAAATAATCTCGGAGTTAATCATCTGAGCTAGCGGTTCTTACATCTTTATACAGAAAGGAAAAGGGCCTTTTGTTTACAGTGCTCATTGTTGTGTTACGATTAACACAAAAAAAAAAATAAAATCCAATAGTAACTAGCCCCCAAGCTTCTAGGTATAGGAGGCAACTTTTTTTTGTACCATAAAATAATAGTCTTATGCTTACTTTTTATATCTGTGATTGTACCATGCATCTAAAACATAAATGTTCATTTGGGGAGGTACCATCAACATTAAAAGTGAGTGTATTGCAGAGAGCAACACTGAAACATCGTTTTGGCATCTAGAAATACTTGCTTCAGGATATTGCCTTTTATCGTGAGTGCTCTGGGGAGAGAGTCTTGAGTTTGATGTACACTGTTGTCATCAGCAACTATATAAATACTTTAGTGCCTGTTGGAATCATCTCTTTCTCTGGCTCAGTGAATTGTACAATCTTGTAAGGGAATGGACTCTATAAAATAGACTTCATGAGCCTGGTCTTGCAGATATGCGTAAAAGAGTCAGTTACTTTTAAAAGATAGTCCTGTTACAAGCACCAAAATTAATCATTCTAGTAAGAAATCAAGATTGTACATATATTTAAAGCCCTAAATTTAAAAACCTGATGCTTGAGAATAAAAGATTTTTCTGGAAGAAATGTGTTTCAGGGCATTTCTTCCTCCAATTCAGGAAACTCACACTGTAATAAGGAGGTGTGTGTATTTATCATGGGATAGAAAGGAATCAGGAAAAGAACTGTATGTTCATCTTTAAAAATAAAGCTGTCTAAGGAGACGCGTGTACAACTTAGATCAGCCCAAGGCTGTTAACGTCTTAGGTGCTGTTGGGGAAGACACCCCTCCACTGAAGGAATAGCTGTTTGTGCTCTTTCGACAAATATTAATGACCTGAAGGAGAGGAATGTGTGCATGTGCACGCAAATGAATACACAAATGCCTGGCTTGAACGTCACCTCCCAGTGTGCCCTGGTCTAAGTGAATAGAAAATCGTCTATGAGCTGTGACAGATGGACTTGCACAGATTTTTGTGGGACTACTTTAACCCTGTTTGCCAGAGGTGACCGTTCCTACAGCAGAAGTGGCACTCCCACACCGGCTCAGTCATAGGCAGAACCGGTGGGTCACAGCCCCGAGGCAGTGGGGTTTATACCTCTTTCCAGCTCCCCTGAGCATGCAGCCTGTTTTCTAACCTCCCTTATAAATATATAGAATATACACACATACTTCCATGTGTGCACATGCACACACACACACGAGTACGTGTCTTTGTATATGTATATAGTAACGATAAGGGCTATCTTCTGAATTTATCTGAAAATAACTGATTAGCATGCTGAATGGGTGTGTAAGAGTTGTTTAGAAGTGGGAAAGCAATTAACAGAATTAACAGAGTACGACATTGCAAACGTTAACTTGGGGTAGAGCCGTTTCTGAATTTTTAGCTGCTAACTTACTTACTTAAACAATAATGAAGTGTTAAATTGCACTACTTTTGAATTAGCTGAGCTTAAGACCTGCATTTTAGTCCCGCAGACTTCTAGCCGTCTCAGTCTTCAATAACAACAACAAAAAAAATCCATACTTTTTAATTGTTAAAGGAAAAAAATATCATCAACCTTGATTCCCATATGGAAGCTCTTTGATGCAAGAGGGCAAGTTTCAAGTTAACAGGGAGGCTGTGAACTTATTTTTATTTGGAAGGCTCACAAGAAACAAAGACAAAAGTTTGAATTTGCTTCTGGCTGGAGGAACCTGCTCCAGCTGTCTCACACACACACTTACCCCCTTCATGGAGTCTCCGCTGTCGTCATCTGGGCCAAGAAGTCATCCCTGCCCACCTTCCCCTTACTGTCATGCTCACTGATCTTTCTCTCTCTCATTGTAGAAAGTGCAAATTGTTGTGACTGTTTTGGACTATGACAAGATTGGCAAGAATGATGCCATCGGGAAAGTCTTTGTGGGCTACAACAGCACCGGCGCGGAGCTGCGGCATTGGTCAGACATGTTGGCCAACCCCCGGCGGCCCATTGCGCAGTGGCACACCTTACAGCCCGAGGAGGAGGTAGATGCCATGCTGGCAGTCAAGAAGTAAATTAAATTAAATTAAATTATGAAGAAGAAAAAGAAGAAGAAGCCTTTCTGCATTTGCCCACATAGTGCTCTTTAGCCAGTATCTGTAAATACCTCAGTAATATGGGTCCTTTCATTTCCAGCCATGTGTTCCTGACACAGATCAGTTGTACTTTTAAATTCCCATTTTAATTTGCACAAATTTAAATGTAGAGAGCCCTCTAAAGGCGCTTCATTTCACCACTGCCCCCCAGATCTACTCTTCTTTTAAGCAATATGATGTGTAGATAGAGCATGACAGAAATTATTTATTGTATCACACAGTTGTATATATACACCAGTATGCTGAGAATTTATTTCTAGTTTGTGTATTTGTATGTTGTAAGCGTTTCCTAATCTGTGTATATCTAGATGTTTTTAATAAGATGTTCTATTTTAAATTATGTAAATTGACTGAGATATAGGAGAGCTGATAATATATTATAGGGTAACTATTGTATCGTCTGCATTCCAGAAAAAAAATTCCAACTTGTAAGGCACTAGTAGTGTTACGCTGACATCTTAAAGGACAACTTAAATCTGAGCTTTCAACTGGACCATCCTAATAACACGCTACGCATCCACAGTGACTCTTGGAGGGGCAAATCCAATTGGGTAGATGTCTTTCACAGGCAACTTAGCATGATCTGAGCAGCTCCATGGCTGACCTCAAGGAGATGTAGCCAGAAGCCAGGATAGAATTTTTTTGTATATATTCCAAAGCAAACACATAACCGACTGAAATGGCTTTAGATTGAAAGTTGAGGAAGCAGTTCTGTAGGAGGCAATGATTTCATCTAACGTACAAAGTAAGACCATTGCAGAGGTGGTGCAGGGAGGGGGGGGAAGGGAGGGGCGAGACGCAGCAGTAGCGAAATGCTGCCATGAAAACAAGAGTAGCTCTCCGTTATCACCTTTATACAAAATTTACATACTGTGAATTCCATCCACAATTTCACATTATAATAAGTTTGCACATTAGACTTTGTAACAAAATATTTTATTATACTAACTCAGATTAGAAGGAATGCAGAATATTTTTTAGACACAGCCGTGTGAGTTTATTATACAAAATAGTTTCATGGTAAACAGACAGTATTGTAATCCCATCAGAAGATGACAAAATTTAGCCATAGTTCTGAATGCACTTCAAAGTAAGCCAAAAGAGAACAGCTAGTGACCTTTTATATACTATTTATACTTAAGTTTTAATTTGTCCTTTAAAAAAAAAAAAGTGAAAACAAAGAACAAGTTCTAGAAAAACTGAAGCAACCTCTTCTGTATACTAGATGCTCGTTTCAGGAGGAGTTTTTAAATGTTTTCAATGTTACTATGTAGTAAATGGCACTATTATGAAGCTATTAGTCATTCCATAAGAGTCTTGAAAGACTGCTCTGTGTATCACTGTGACTGCCGTGTGTGCTTAGAAATGTAGTTTTCTCAGTGGATAGCAATCAATTTATTCCGTAGTGATATTGTAATAATACTGCCATTCCCTTCTACTGCACTGCCGAAGGAACGCATAGCACAAGCAGTTCTAGTTATGACGGACCAATTTAGAACTGGAGCGCTATGCAGGGGACAAGGATGCTATATTGAATGGGTTGACCACGCAGCATTTTGTCAAGCCCTGTGCAATACTCTACACTTCCAGCCTCCCTCGCCCCCCGCCGCTTTACTGTAGATAGCCACCGTACAGCTAGCCAGCACGTCATCTCAGCTTGTACCATCTCATCAAGTCATTTAGGGCATCGCTTCTATCTCATGTAACTGTCCTTTGAGGCCCCTCGCTTATCTTTCCAAGCTGTGAATATATTCATAATGCTTTAAAGAGTTCCTTATTTTCAGCAATGCAAACTACCCCAGAAATGTGGAAGTGCTATGCCTTTTGGAGGAAGGCATGAGAATTAACCATTGATGTTCTTATCAATTGTATCTAACCGCTATTATTGAAAGCAAAGATGAATGTAATTGGAGAACTGTGTACTGAAAACTAAATTCCACCGCCGCCCTGAAGGCGCTGCTTCTGGGAGAGGTGTGACAGTCCGAGAGGTCAGTGCTGTCATGGCCAAGCACCGATGTTTTCAGTACACTGAGGGTAAACGAAGCAGCAAAGTGGGAGGAGAATAAAAGTCTGGATCTCTCCCCACCTCCAAAAGCGAGAATAGCAAGACCCATTTTCTTTCTTTTTTACATGAAACACAGAAAAAACACAAGCGAGACATTTTCTGATAGAAACAGGCACATACATGCAAAGCATCAAGCTGGAATACTTTAAAATCTTAACCTTAAGGACCAAACCCCACCAAAGAAAGAGAAGCAGCAGACAGTCAGCTTTCCAGCATAAGAGCTTCACGGTCTCCAACTTTCAGTTGTTCATTCAGGATAGCTGCAGGTTCAAACTGCCAGGACCGACTCATTGTGTTAAGGTATTCTTAATGCTTTCTCTTCCTACACTGCCAGACTGAGCGTCACCATAGACCTGGTTTGTAAGGTACGCTGATTCTCAGAGACTGAACCTGCCGTGTGACCAAGATGACATTTTCATCCTCAAAGAAGCCACATGTACCTTTCTGACAAAGCTGTGTGAAGTATTAGAATCTGATGCTGTAGAAAGATCCTAGTTGCCTTTGTGTATATTTACTGCCTGCTTGAGTGTTTCTCTGTGTGGGTTTTCTCTGTATCTTGTAGAAATGTTTGGGGTGTTTTATCCTGCCATATCGCTCGTGGCCCGCGAGCTGACAACTTTAGCCGTATTTTACCTTCATTTTTGATGAGGTGGTTTATATTTTGTTTCACTTTGTGTAGTGACTTCCCACAGTAGAGTTTTCCAATTGTCGTTAAAATAACATACATATTACACAGATATTCAATAAAAATGTTTTATTTCCTGTTGATGTTCTAGCATTTTCTCTTTTGATCTAAAATTTTGAAAAGACGTTTCATTCGAGGACTTTAGCACAATCATAAACTTTGAAGTATCGCAAGTGTACTGGCACAGCATTTTTCGAGGGGCTGTGAGGAGCTGCTTTCATTGGTGTGGGCTGCTGTAAGACCGTCACAGCCAGCAGCGCGCCAGGAGATGAATTCTCCACCTCTGTTGCAGAGGAAGAACTATTACCTTGTTTTCCCAAGAGCCTGATTATTTGCCTCTCAAACCATCATTCTCTATCAAAACATGGACTAGTTTCTATAAAACAACAAAAACTCCAAGTAGTACCCTACACATCAGTACTCTTCAAGCCAGTTGTGTTTGTTAGAGCCGTGGTTGAAGTTTTCATTTGGCGAGAGAGAGTATATATTAACGTACATTCAAGAGCTACTTCTAAGCTGGGCATAAAATCAAGCCTCTTGTAGACTAAAGATCATTAAATAAGAGCTTCAATTGGGGGGGGAGAAGGTGTGGGAGGAAGCGAATCCACAAATGAAAAATGATTGAAAAACACTGTGCTATGAAATCATTCAAGTTCCTGAGCCTATGAAGAGAAATAGCTCAACCCCTCACCCCCCTGAAAAAAAAAAAATAAATCCCAAACCTGTAGCCATGTTTGTTTTATGCAACCATTTTCCACAGCAATCCCCCCACCCTTGCTTTTTCCCCAGTCTCAAGAGGACTACACCCATTCCGTTCAGGAACCACACTGCGGTAACTACTGATATGCAGCAGTTTAACCACAGCTGTTGTTACACGAGGCTTTACTACAAGTTAGAGCTCATCGTAAATATTTTCAGGGTTGACCCTTTTCCCTATTCCCACTACTCAGAAAAAAGTGACCTCTTTTCTCCCAACTGTTTTTGGTTTTCATCGTCTAGTGTCAGTGAGCACCAAACAGACCGATGCCACACTCAGCAATCAAGAGCAGGCCAACATCTCCTGGTGGGCCTGGTGCTTTGGAGAGCACTGACTCTTCCAAAAGCTGTGGCTGACCGGAGTCCGTGGCTTTACCGATCAGCCTGCTCGGTCTGCAGGAGCTGAGGTACCACTCCTGTGGTGCAGTGTACTTCCCGGTAGGTACAGGCAGGTACCACATTATGGAGGTATGAGATGCTGCTGCTCCCTCCTTTGCCATCAGCTGTGGCATGATCAGACCAAGCATGCACTTCCCTAAGAGGAGCAGTTTGCCTAAGAGCAGACCCAAAGCTATCAAAGTCAATAGATAAAAATACTTTGATCCAGCTTCTATATGCACCAGCCATTTTTGCAGATCTTGAGAATACCAAGATGACATCTGTGTCAATCAAAACTAGTTCTTCCAACAAGGCTAATCAGTTAAAGCCAGTCATTACAACTAATGTAAGGAAAAATGCTTCATACAATAGCAGTTACACTAAGTGGGAAAAGCAGCAAAAATTACTAATTTTATTCAGCTCATTTAACCCCTAATCAACTGTCAAGAAAAACATTCTTCCCAACTGACAGACTGTTACCAAAGCAAGGGATCTACATCTCTTGATCACTTTTCACATCATGAGTCAATGAAAGTTAATTGCCTGTTAGTTATGCAAAGCAAGAATGAGAACATTATATTTTCTGATTACTCTAAGCGTCAATGCCCTGATTTATTTATGCATTAGCATTTTCACTCCAGGCTGCCAGCTCAGTTTCTTGTACACATACTGACCTGCTTTTCAGAACATACATCTATCAAATTCATGTCCAGCCCCTATTTTCAGTGTCAGTTCAGACACTGTTGTTCATCCAGGCATTACAGAATGTACGGAAAAGGGTTTTTCTATACATACCACAACAACCTTTACTCAGTCTTAGTTATGTTTACCTTATATGCAGTAAATCTTTTTATAGTCAATATATTGAGAGAATACTTTTCATATTGCACCAAAAAGTAGTTCCAAAAGTATGTGACAAACTAATACAGAGAAGACTTTTTAACTCTATATGGTACTTTGTGACTGACACCCACAGCAATATTTTCAGACACAAGAGCCAAAGAGATTTATTTCAAGATCATGCTGCATTCAACATAAAAAAAAGAAAGTTCTACAAATGAGGGAATGATCTAGATGTCCTTAACAGAGCTCATGAAGAGGCCAAATAGGTTGGGGAAGTGAAGACAGTTCTTCCAGGCTTTTGGGGCGAAGGTGGAGGGGGCAGGTACTATAGTCTTTTTGTTCTATGCATGCACTGTGCCAGAACATACTGAGATTTTGACCAGCCATTTAGACCAAAAAAAGCCAAACCAAAACAAGAGATTCATC